GGAAACAGATATATGTGAATACATACAGAATAAGACACAGGAAATAGTTCAACTGAAAAAAATAAATATGAAGTCGGAACGACCCTACAATGCATTTAAACTGTTTGTTTCAAAATATAAATGAAGTACATTCCTGGATGACAAAATATGGCCCGTCGGTATTCAGTTTAGACGGTTTATTTACTTTAAAAAAAAAGAATACACAGATAGTAAATAAACAGGACAGTGATGTAAACACTCCGAAAACATAATGGGTTCAATGTTGAACATCAAACTTTGTACATTTAACTGCAAAAATGTTATTCGATCAGCTGATTGCGTTCGAAGATTATGTAACCAGGTCGACGTGCTAGCATTGCAGGAGACATGGCTCCTGCCCCATGATGTTCCATATCTGGCAACTATTCATGGAGACTTTGCATATACCGGAAAGTCAGCTGTGGACACCTCTGCCGGAGTACTTGTTGGAAGGCCATACGGGGGCGTAGCGCTCTTGTGGAAGAAATCGTCGTTTGCGTCGGTGTCGGTCGTACATTGTGTTAGTGATCGAATAGTGTGTATTAAAATAGAGCAGGGTAATCGGTCCATGTTAATATTTTGTGTGTATATGCCAACAGACTGTGCTGATAATCTTACCGAGTTTACACAGTGTCTTAGTGAGATTATTTCTGTGATCGAAAGCAGTGGAGTGGAAACGGTATTTATATTGGGAGACTTTAATGCACACCCCGGAACACGGTTTTCAAGTGAGTTACTTAATACCTGTAATGATGAATCATGGTCTTGTATTGATACAGAGCTTTTGCCATTGGACTCTCATACTTTTATTAGTTCGGCCAACGGATCCCTCCGATGGCTGGATCACTGTGTTGTCACTGACTCCGCTAGACATTTAGTGAATAATGCATCCATTTTGTATGATGTTTATGCGTCAGACCATGTTCCGTTACTAATAGAATGTAATATTAATTTAATTAAACCTAAAATTGTAAATTCAACTGTTTCCTACAACAAAGTTGTGTGGGGGGAAAGGGATACTGACCAGATAAATAATTATTTTGAATTTTGTAATGATAAGTTAAAACAAATAGTATCTCCATCAGAGTTTCATGAATGTGCTGTTAACATATGTCACAATAGCGAACATCGTTTGTTATTAGATAATATGTATGATAGCTTTATTTCTATTTTAAAAGAAGGCGCGGTACGCACGCACTCTATGTCTGTTAAAAGGAATCATAAGGGTAAGCATGTAATAGGGTGGAACAAGCACGTTCGCGAAGCTCACCGTGACGCACGACTGTCGTATCGAATGTGGATGTTGCACAACAAACCCACTAGCGGTTATATTTATGAAAATATGTGTAGGACAAGAAACAATTTTAAAAAACACACCACACGTCATAAAAAAAAACAATTTGATAAATTTTGGAAGCTAACAAACAAATTAAAACATAAGTCGGGAGTACCGGAGAGCGTCGCGGGTGTAACGGAGCCCACAGAAATTGTAAATGCTTTCCTAGATAATTTTAAAGTAAGCTCACCTCTGTCTGATATTAATAATATAGTGTTCAGCGAGGCTGGGACGTCCGTGACTGGGACTCGAGTCCCCCGGTCACGACGGCCTCAGCGTCGAACATCTTAAATATTCAGGAGTACACCTACCAAGAGTACTTGCTATGTTTTTCAGCCTGTGTTTAAGTCATGGTTACCTACCTGCTGAACTTACTGAGACGATTGTTGTACCAATTATAAAAAATAAAACTGGGGATGCCTCCGATGTTTCCAACTACAGACCCATCTCGCTGGCAACTGTGACTGCTAAGGTATTGGACAGTCTAATTGATGAAATACTAGCCAAACACATAGTTCTAGAGGATAACCAATTTGGTTTCAGGGCGAATTTATCCACTGAAAGTGCTATCCTAAGTCTCAAGCAGACTGTCCAATATTACACAGATAGAAAGACCCCAATAATTGCTTGTTTTTTGGACTTATCGAAGGCATTCGACTTAGTAAATTACGACCTGCTCTGGCATAAGCTTGCTCACGATACTTCTGTCCCGGGTAATGTCATTTCACTGTTGAGATATTGGTACAGTAATCAAAAAAATAGAGTGAAATGGGCGGGCTCATATTCTGACTTATATGGGTTAGAATGTGGGGTAAGACAGGGTGGGTTGAGTTCCCCTCGTTTGTTTAATCTGTACATAAACAAATTGATAGAGGAGCTTAATAGCACCAGAACAGGTTGTCACGTGGATGGTGTTTGTGTAAACAACATTAGCTACGCTGATGATATGGTGCTGCTGAGCCCGTCTATTAACGCGTTGAGGAAATTACTTAAAATCTGCGAAAGTTATGCGGTGGCACACGGGCTCAAGTACAATACCAATAAGAGTGAATGGCTAGTTTTCAAGACGAGTACCTTAACATACCAACAGCTTCCGGAACTCTCACTCTTTGGATCTCCTCTAGGCCGGGTTCAGAGGTTTAAGTATTTGGGCCACTGGGTCACCGATGACTTAAAAGATAATGTGGATATTGATAGGGAACGCAGGTCGTTGGCTGTCCGCTGCAATATGCTGGCACGTAGGTTTGCACGCTGTACTAGCAATGTTAAAATAATGCTGTTTAAAGCCTTCTGCCAATCTTTTTACACCTGCAGCCTGTGGACTAAGTTTACGCAGAGGGCATACAACGACCTGCGTGTCCAGTATAATTTTGGGGTCGCCATGGCGATGTGGCGCGTCAGTCATGTTCGCAGAGGCACAGGTCGACGGTTTCACCGCTATAATGCGGAAACGTTGCGCCTCCATGCTGGTGCGTTTGCGCTCCTCCTCCATCCTCCTCCGCATCCTGAATGTTTTTTCAGATAGATGGGACTCTTCCTTTATTCGGAGGTGGATTTCCATTCACGTAATTTTTTTTTTTTTTATAATAAACGAATAAATATCATTCAATACTAACACTAGTTTTTAAAACACATTGTTACTAACACTATATGGATGTAATAGTCCGAAATAAATAATTTGAATTTGAATTTGAAAAAAATATGGCAACCAATAAAATATGGTCAAAAATATACGCATTCATGATTTTATAACAATCACATCGTCAAGTACACACTTTGTTGCAAAACAACCCACATCTTAATTACTATTTAACTGATCAAGATTAATATTTAATTAATTTTGCATTATACACTTGTCATAGAATCGACGACACGGATGGCGTAGGGGTTTAAGCGGTCACCTCGCTACTTTATACTATGAGTGTTGTGGGTTTGATCCCCACATGCGACAACACTTTGTGTGATCCACATATCGTTCTGGGGGTTCTTTATATCCGTTTCATGAATGTTTGTAAAGTTCCCCGCGACACAGGATATTTTTAGTGCTGGGAAAAAAATTAATATGCGAAATTCGAATTTGTATCCGTCACTTTAATGCAAAATTTCATGTCAACATTTTCTTTAGTGGTTGGTACAAAAATGGGCACAGCTTTTATGCAAGAAAAATGTAATTACAGCTTCTAAAAGAGATTTTTTCCATTAAAGCGAGTGTATCGAGCAAAGTAAGTAATCGATAAAGATGATCTTTGGATTTGAAATAGATGGGTATAGATAAAACAAAATAAAATGTCATCAACGTGAGCAAGCCAAACGGAAAAATTAAACGTCGTCAAGGAATCGGTGTAGGAAACCGTGTATTGACTGGAAGTCTCTCAGAATGAACGTAGATTTACATAATAGACTCGTGTTCAACAACAACTCATAATAATGACATACCGTCCATTCATAGTTCATAGATACCATTCAGATAGATTATAAAGTGAATTGGCGTCTGACACTGTCGCAGCAGAACGTTTTATTCCCGAATTCGAAATTGGAATTTAAGCATCCTCGAAATACTCACTTGAGTAATAACCATATATCTTGAATAAAGAATAAAATAACAGTACGTCATTAAATATTGTTCTCCTCTTTCTATCATAAAAAAATATGATAGGTCTTATATAAAGGCTTAAAGTCTACATAATATTTATAAAATGTGGCTAAAGTTTTTAAAAAAAATAGAACTAAATCTTTTTATAAAACAAGATGACATGTGCTTTGCACACCATGGGAGGTTACAACGCAGCAGTAATCCGAATGGAGAGAACAGCTCAAACAAAACTATTTTTTTTAACTTTAACAAGTTTTTTATGATTTTTGTTGTCGATATACCTTGGTTACACCATAATATTATTTTTGTTTGTATTTTATAAACCGCTTTCGCTGGTGTGAGATTACTAATCTACAGTGCTGCCTTGTTAATAACTATTGTATGTGTGTCTCCGATCTATACAATTCGAATATTCCATTCTAATATCCGTGTGATGACGGATTAAGAATACGGAGTGTCACCATCCCTATCCATCCCGTAGGTATCGTACGAGCCGACTAATGGAGCAAACTAGGCAGGACAACAGCACTGCAAAGAGAAGGAAAACTTGAAACAAACCCTATACCAACCCATTTGGCCTGCGTGGTTCAGTAGGCCCAAACCTCCTTTCTAAGGAGAGGCCTATGTTCAGCAGTGGACTATTAAAGGCTGTTGATGATGATAAATAGCGTTGATATTCCTTTGTAGTCATACTTTAGCACTTGTTCCTTGAGTTTCTGGTATCCATGGGTAGCGGTAGTCAGTTATCTGGTGACCACTCGGCTCTTCTTTAGGTATTAGTTTTAAAAAGTGGTATCCAAATACAAAATAAATATAACCACAAAGAAACACCGAAAGTGGCATAGATCGTTTTCCTACTCTATCTTCGTCATCTCTATGTCTATGTTATTCTTATTTTACACTGAAACAGGGAAATTATCACCATTGAAAAGATAATACACGACAGTTAGATAATTCCAGAGATACTGAATTGTTATCGTCACTAATATTTCAGTGCTCTGCCCGATACTTGTATATAAAACATATATAATTAACTAAATTGTTGTAACAGAAATGGCTTTCTCTGGAAAGAAATTCAGAAGAGTTGGGAGTGAAAATATTGACGCGCTGCTCAATGCTGCAGGTAAGCGACATATGATTTGGTAAAAATCTCAGTGCGGGCAAATCACGACGAATGCGGTCACCGTGACGGTCGAGTCAATGTGAAATAAACTTACACTAGGCCCTGTGATACCGTATTTTGTGCTTTGATTTTGAATTTAAACACCGTGATATCTGAATTACTATTCGAAAATTTAAAAACACTTATTAACCTTATTTGATATAAAACCTATTTAACCGCATTCGAAAAACAAAATAGGTTCTCGATTTGATTGTTTTTTTTTTATTTGTTACCACAGACCCCCGTCATACATTGACCATCATTGTCATTGATTTTCTTTGTTTTTAAGGGTATTATAACTTTCCTTTTGGTTCATTTCAAAATTCATTTAAAGAAAAAGGTGAAAAATTAACAGCAAAGTCACAGTTTATTACAACTCTACATGATGCAGTCTAAGTCGGTAATACTAATAAGTTTTTAAGTCATTTTTTTTATACTTCTTAGAAGTAATTTATTTCTTTAAAACAAAACTATCAAATAATTAATTTAGCCCCTTTTTTTATATACAGACTAGATATTCATATGTTTAGTACTTTTTAATAGATAAACACTTTTCTTTTTAAAAGACTGCAGAACCTAAAAATATTTTATTTAATTAATTAACGAAATGCAACGCGTGTTAATAAGTCCCTAATTGACTAATAAAGTATTATTATGTATGTATATGTATTTTTCAACTACCTACATCATATTTTATTATTATAAACGAGCTCTGAACTATTTTGTATAATATAAGTATGTTCATTTCTTGTGTGAGTTGATTTGTAATCTTTGTGAAATAAATGAGGCTAACCTTATCTAGTTAGCCACGAAGGAATGGATACAGGTATTGTAATACTTAAAAGTACTTATATTTCAAGTAAATAGATAGATAGAAAATTATTTATTTGTACACCGTTTTACAAAATAGTATGGCACATAACAATGACAGATATATAATGTACAAAGGGCGGCCTTATTGCTAAGAGCAATCTCTTCCAGGCAACCTTAGGATAGACTATAGAGTAGTAGATAGAGATAGAATTTGAAAAGCTCTGCTTTAGTGGATTCGATTCCCGGACAGGGTAAAATTTTATAGGGGTTTTCTGATGGAAAAAATAGCCTAAGTTACTCCTAGTAGTAAACTACCACTACTACTCAGCTACCTGGTAGTAAAATATTATCAAAATCAGTCAAGCCGTTTTGAAAATTACCCGGAACAAACAGACAGATAAACAGACAGACAGACAGACAAAAAATATTTAAACTGGTTTTTAGGCATATGTATCGTGCAAATAACCGTGTGAGCATGAAAAATATTATTTTGACATTACAAACAGACACTTCAATTTTTAACCGTCTTCAAAAAAAGGAGGAGGTTCTCAATTCGACTGTATTTTTTTTTATTATTGTTACTAACTAACTAACTACTAACTTTTGACTAGGTCCGATTTTGATGATTCTTTTTTTATTTGAAAGCTGGTGCTTCCCGTGTGGCCCCATTTCAATTTGGTTCAGTTCTGACAATGGCATCCATGAGAAAACCATATAAGTCTTAAATTTGCATTCAGTATGTTCGCGACAAACAGACGAATAACTCAATATCACGGCAACCGATTTCGATAAAAAAAATGTATTGGAGTGGATGTACTCTAAGGGTTTTGATGAGAGTTTGGTTAGATTCTGATCATGGGATCCATGACAAAGTAACGGAACTCTTCAATTCTTAGGAGCAAATTAACGATACTCGGCTGAATCTTTTACAGGCTATCCGGTTATTTGACACCGACTCCAAAAATAACAATAATTGTAACTACATTATTTTCATTTCATTTTACTTAGGAGAACTCAAATAAATATTTTTATCCTTGTTTGTTATTCACAGGTATATGTTAAGTTAGATTTGAAGTGGGTAGGTACCTACCTACCTTCTTGCGTGGTAACACATAGATCGTACCTACCTATAGATGAGTAGAGAAAAGTAAGTTGATTATTAAGTTGTAGAAGAATATGCATTTTTTTTTACTTTTTAGTGCATATTAATTTGTTTTGGAATAGTATTTTTTGAAGTCGTTTTTTTTTTTGTTAAAATTTTTTGTTTATATTTAATTGTATAGAAAAACGTTTATGAGAGAAAGTGGTAGTTGAAGGTACAATGAGTGTTGTCAGGTTTATTCCTAATGAATATAAAAGAGGTAAAATTAAATAAATACATACCAAAAAATATACCTACATACATAACTATACCTCCTTAATATGTATATCACAACAAAAAAAAATACATAACAAACTAAGTACCTTATAAGCTTTGAAAATCCACAGAAAAAACGACCTTAAACACAATTATGTTTCATAAATAACTTATGACTAATACTTACAACCTACTTTTAAAACTATTATTAAACTGATTAAAATTCAGCGGTTTTCCTTCTACAGTGTATTTTCATTACCATGCTCGAGATAAGTTACTCGTTAATATATGTATATCGATATATTAAATCATAACCCGATGGCTAGACGAACTTCATCTGTTCTGTAGGTTAAGGGATGACTGAGATAGGGTACATACAAAAGAAGAAGAATAGTTAAAAAAAAAGTTTTAAGGGGCTTAGTCCAGTGACATCATAAAAGTTAAGTTAGAATTTTTTTAAAGACAACTCCCGCATAAGTAATATATCCTGTGTCGCGGGAAACTTTACAAACATTCATGAAACGGACACAAAGAACACCCAGACTCATAACAACAATTTGTGGATCACACAAAGTGATGTCCCACGTGGGAATCGAACCCGCAACACTCAGCGCAGTAGTAAGCGGCAAAGTGACCGCTTAAACTACTACGCTATCCATGCAGTTACTAATTCTCTGCGAGTTACTATAAATAAATACTTTTTATAAAGTATCACCGATGTTAAAGCACCTAAACCAATATTTGTAAATAGTATTGTAATACACATGTATTCTTCGTTCCTTAATTTTCACCTTTAGGGGTAAAATAATCTACAAATTTGAATGGGACCAAATGGAAAGTAAATTCAAATAAAAGATGATTTTCCAAATTTGTTCATAAATGTCTGAGTTCTGAGATTATAAACATGTAAAAAAACATAAAGCCGAATTGGAAACCACCATTTTTTTTTATTCGGTTACAATAAGGTTTATTTTGCAGATGTCGGCGAAAGTGCAAAACATATGCTGCGGAGTAAGACACCAACATTTAAATTTACTAAGGTTGATGACAATACGTTTAACTTCTGTCTCGAGAATGAAGGCAAGGTTATGTCACATAACTTCAAACTCGGAGAAGCAACCGAGACAAAGAGAAGAGATGGCTCTGTAGTAAGTTAATATTAATGTTACACATCACACACAGGGCAGTCTAGTTCCAAACTAGGCAGAGCCTGTACTATGGTAACAAAACTGCTGATAAACATACTTATATATTTCTAAATACAAACATATTGTAGATAAATTACACCCAGACACAGAACAGATAATCGTGCTCATCACAGAATATTTTTCCTGGGTGGGAATCGAACCCACGACCACCGGCTTAGCAGTCTACCACTGCCGAGACCAACAAGCCCCTCGTTACCAGTTAACATACAGGATTAAAATACACTATGTAAAACACACACCCACACACACACACAGGGAGGCTTACGGGAATCGCGTCCCATATCTCACCTACCATCTGTCAGCCAACTCTATCTCCGAGCGCCCATTTGTCAAATCAAATGTCGCGCGCTTTCCGGCTTCCTTCTCACAGATAGCAGAAAAGCTAAAGGAAAATTGTTACACATCTAAAACTGTTAAGTATTTTACGTCCTTGTTCAATTTTTAACTGCTAAACTCATTAACATGAAATTTTGTACACATGTTGTTTTAGGTAAAGAAAAAAATTAAAGCTAAACTTCTAACTAAAAAACTAAAAAGACAAAACGTAGTTGTTAGTAGGAGAAGTATGAATTATTAAGGAAGTACGTTCAGAGGTCTGCATATACCTACATACATACCTACTTAAAATCATGCAAAATTCATAATATCTTACATACGAACACACAAACTAATCAGAGACTCTATTATGGGTGTTATGGGTTGCGCATACATATACACAGACACATTTTTATTGTAGCAGAGGAGCAGCCGTATTCATGAACGTTTGCACTGATAGCCAAACGAACCTGCGATCCCTGGTCTGACAGTCTAATTCATTACCACCGTGCCACAGACATCCCACTTACTCCTAACGGCCCGTAGGTCATTTATAACGTAAGATGAAGACCTTAAAATATGATAACCTTTTTCTGGTACCTACCCTTACAAGACTTTGTGTATTTTTCTAGGTATCTGTCACATACACGTTGGAAAGTGACAATGTGTTGACACAGACAATCAAACCAGCAAATGGTGCTCAGTCCCATTTCAAGCGGGAGTTTGGAGAAAAGGAAGCTAAACTGGTAAGATAAATACTTTTAGTTAGATTATGTTAAATTTTTAAAAATACATCTCACGCATTAGGAATATATCCTGTGTCGCGGGGCACTTTACAAACATACATGAAACGGACACAAAGAACACCCAGACTCAAAACAACAATTTGTGGATCACACAAAGTGTAGTCCCATGTGGGGATCGGACCCACAACACTCAGCGTAGCAGTAAGCGGCGTGGCGACCGCTTAAACCACCACGCCTTTTTTTCAGTGGCAGTAATACATCGATAAATTATAAGTTAAAGTTAGTAATAGTTTATTAGTGTTTATATTAGTTAAATATTTTGGGCAAGAGACCCCTTTTCTAAAGTGACCTCAGATATAGATAGCCAAATTACTGCATGCTTATCGACTTGTTTAGTTTTTTCGTCTTACTACAACATTAGACATTTTTATAACAAAGTGGTATAAGCAATACAACTAATACAGTATCTTCAAAGTTTAAAATTAAGTTAAAGAAAAACTTGTATTACGAGTTCGAGGTCTAAAAATCGACCCCTATTAATTAATAGGGGTCGATTTTTAGACCTCGTCGGCCCCAAAATCAGTTTCCGTTTATGTTTCTCTGTTATGACTGCCTCATTGGAGCAGTAGGTAGTGTATGCGACTGCTGTGATGAGGTCTCGGGTTCGATTCCCGAGTCGGACCACATGTTTGTATGATTTGCAAATATTTGGACGCAAATAACGGATAACAAACAATGAGATACAAATATGTAGACGTAACAATCGGCGGTCTTATTGTTCACGGTGATCTCTTTCAGACAACCTTAACACGAATACTAGGTATTTTAAAAAATTAAGGTAATTTATATACAAGTAACACATTATCACGTGATGTATTATATCACGTGATGTATATAAGTCAATACTCTCCTCGGTATACATACCAGAAATATTCTAAAAAGCCATAACTATTTCTCGATGTTTTAATCGTCATGACTTGACAATCTCTCCACCTCCATCAGCTCTAAAAAAGTACTGAATATCCGCATTCATAAACAAATTACAGACCAAATTACACACTGACCTAATCACCAGACAGCAATATGAAACTAGTCCGGATAACAAAGCCACAAATGGCATTACAGGAAAAAACAGTGCTTGTTACCTATCATATATTTTGTCCGAAATTACATATCAAGTCGCACAATAAATTGTAGGCAGTTAGTAGGTGTCAAAAATTGCTTGTTTGGTTTAAATACGTATATTGAGTAATAAAAATAACTAAAAACATCTTACACACGGCCGCCTGATCCCAAACTAGGCAGAGCCTTTGCTATTGTATATAATATATATAATATATATACACAATAAATATATACAGATAAAGAACATGTGATCCTGCTCATCACACAACACATTAATAAAAAGGTACCGTGAATTGAATTTAAGGCACCTGTTTTTCTTGTGACCTGTATTAATTACTATCCAGAGAAATAATATACATACATATTTAATAATCTATACTTATTTTTTTAAGCTGAAGAGTTTGTTTGTTTCTAATTCTAAAAGTTTGTTCTTATCTCAGTAACTACTATTCCGAATTGCAATATTCTTTTAGTGAGGAAGGCTTTATAACATCAGGCTACATAAAATGTTACAAAAACAGTTAAAATTTATTCCTTTTCTTCATTCACCTTCCACTGCCTTCTTCACCAGTCTTTAATAATAATTACTCTTTACTTTTACAGACGATCACAATCGAAGGCATAGATGTCGTGGCGGTAGTCTATTACGAATTGGTGGAATGACGAGGAAATGCCAGAGAATAATGGATGAAGTTTTAATTTTATACTATTTATGTGTTGATCTATGCTATATTTTGATATAAACAAAACGATTAACCAAGCATTCTTTTATTTATATTTCCAAACAAATTAATGTTAAGCCGAAATTCCATTATTTGTATCATCAGACTTTATTTGAGAACACTGCTCACTGATACGTCATATCTACACACTATCACGACTTGCTATTACTCATTTATATTCGAAAAAGTATCAAGCTCTTAGTCACAGTAGAAACATATCTGAGACCAATCAAGTCGTCGCCGTGCGCAAACACCTAATTTTTAATGTAGCTTTTGTGACTATCAATCAGCGATATCCCCGGGCACCCTTGGATTATACACCGCTTTGAGTAGGATCCTATATAACCAACCAAGATTGCTGCCCTAATCTGCATTGCGCAGTGCTCAAATCTGATTCAAATATGTGATCTTATCAGTCGTGCATAGAGACAAAATATGGGTGTACATAGTTCAGTGGATACCGAGTAATATTTATCAAACAACTACAGCTACCAACCAAGCTATTTTGTTCAAATGAGTACGGCACGTAAGTTTGGTGTTGTGCTGTCCTTAAAGTTATGGTGAAACATTTTTTTTAGTAACAAAGAAACTAAATTATCCGGTCTTGACGCTCTTGACCGCATATTTAAATTATTCTTGGAAAGTAAGTTACGAATGGAGGTGTGTACAAATGACATCAATCAGCATTCTTTAATGTTTTTAGATTAACATTCGCTAGGAGACGCCGGGCCGGGCACGCCGTCATCACGGCGGTAAGACCCGTTATGGAGGATTGGCTCGAGAGGCGTCACGGGACTCTCTCATACCGACTGACGCAGGTGACAACTGGGAAAGGATGTTTCGGGGATCACCTGTGTCTGATCCGCAAGTAGCCAACGCCTGAGTGCCACCACTGCGATGGCCAGACCGTGGACACGGCTCTCCACACGCTGGCAGAGTGCCCGGCGTGGGTTGAGCAGAGGCGAGACCTCGTGGCGGCCATCAGAGTGGGAGTTCTCTCGCTCGATAGCCTGATTGTGGCTATCGTGCGTGCGTGTGGCTATCGAGCGAGAGTGCGTGGAACTCTGCCGTCTCCTTCTGCGAGCAAGTTATGCTCGCGAAGGAGACGGCGGAGCGGGACCGGGAGAGGTTTAGAACTCTCCCGGCCCGCCAGGCCTGGGAACGGGCCAGGTACCGCAGGCGACTCAGGCGCCGGGGGTCGCAGAACGACCTCCGTCCTCCATAAGCGCAAGCCTGGGGGTGACAGATGAGGCCATCTGTCACCCTAGCAGAAGCAGGCCGGGGTGGCGGCGAGCGCGTTGCGAAGCGCGCTCGCTTCCAGGGAGCAGAGGGAACATGGGGTCCCCCACACGGGGGGGGGTCGTCTACTCGTCTGTAGATGGCCCGAGGTATGTCGGGGCACCAGGGACTTCCTTTCTAGGGTATACCTGGTTCCCCGGCTATTAGTGTGCGGTTTTAGTCGGTTCGAGTCCGACATGCCACCGATAGGTGGTATCCGAGGGGAATTCCGCACAGAAAAAAAAAAGGGGACGCCGGGCGGCTTCCCCGTGATAGAGCTTGGTTAGGCGTAGCGTCGACCGGGGGAGGACCTGTAATGACACGGTCGGCGTGGTATTAAGTGGAAACACCACATACTCCAAGCTCCGGCGTTCCCAAGGAGCCGGCGATCCGAAAAGAATTTTTCACCCCGTCACCAAAAGAAAAGATTAACTTTCGTGGAAATCACCAAATTTATATAACGGACCAAAACAGTTAAAAAAACCGAGACTTGAAATAGAAAAAGAAATTAAAGCTTTTAATTCTGCCTTTTTCGATATGACTTTATTTAAGTTTGCATATATAAAATTTACATGCAATATTTTATCTTACTTAAATCACACTTCGAGTTAGCATAGTACCGCCTCCTGCTATTGTCTAAAGACAACTAATCTAGTCCATCTGTCATGAATAGGAGACCTTACCAAATGTATATGTATCTCCATTTGTAAACAACAAAAAATATACATGCTTGGAATACTGATAATAAAATATCTATTACTGCATCTGCATTTAAAAGTAACGTGTAAACTTAGTGAACGTAGTTTAGCGTTTACTTTCCTAAAATTATTTTTAGATGTGTAACTTCGTAATAAAGGACGGAAATGTTTAGTTTCATTTGATCGATGAACGCGTGTTAGTAAAATGTTAAGTACATAACAATATATCATGTAAGACCTTAAACCCGCCGCGGCTTCGCACGGGTGCATTATATATGCTAATGTGGTGTAAGTGTCGAGTTATTAATATTCTTATAATTATACTACAGAATATCTTCATAGACAGCTGTTTACCTACATGAGACAATACAAATATGTTTTCTTTAGAGGTTATTTTAGCAAGCGCCTCGCTCGCCAACCGCTGCCGGACTGGCGCGACGGACGTACGTCCTGAACATATCATCATCACAAATTTTGGAAAATTCTCAGCTTTTCCCTACTCTAAAATGAATTCATGCAAATAAACCTTCCTGTATCACTGTATCCATTGATGAAAACCGCATTAAAATCCGTTGCGTAGTTTCAAAGATCCAAGCGTTCAGGGGCGGGAAGCGATAATTTCATACTACTGCTCGTATGAAAAGATATTCGTACATCTCACATCAAAGATTTTTTTTTCTTAATCTCACATGCATTGCTCCGTGACGGTTTGCAATATTACGATAAATGTTACTTTTGTTATTACTCATCATAACTACAAAAAGTCATTTGCACCTAAATAAATCACTAATTTGTTTATAAATATCATAATACTGATAAAATCACTTTTTGTTATGATCCATATTTTAGTTGACTAATTTCTACAAAAAAATGGTTATTTTAACTATACTATAATATTTAGATATACTATAATTTTTATGTACTGTCAATAGTTTTTGCAGCGCACGCGAAGAAAGTAAATAAGTATTTTTGGCACTTTTTTATACCTGGTTTTAAATTATCGCCATTTTTATAGGAAATTCATTATGTTTTCAAAATAAAATCTAGCCTATCGTAGTCGCTGATAATGTAACTTTCTATTGGTGAAAGATTTTTTAAAATCAGTCCATTAGATTCGGTACTGAAATCTTTCCTCTTTATAAAATTAGTATTAACACAACTGTAAGGTCTCGCTCGTTTTATAAGATTTTGACAGTTACTGATTTTAAATTTTAAACTGCAGAAAACAGTTAATAATGTATTCCACTTACGTAATAATCTAGCAAGAAGGTTTACATAATGGAAAATGTGTTTATTTCCATTAATCCCGGTTAATTTAATTTCGCATATTTTATGTATGTAGACCTCTTATTTCTAAGGTACCCATTCTTTAGGGATAAAGGGTTAATTAAATTTTGGAGTACATTGAAAGGAAAGCTAAGAGGCGACAATGGTAGGATAGGGATATTGTTTCATCACATCACATCACCAGCCTCTAATAGTCCACTACTGGACATAGGCCTCTCCTTAGAAAGGATGTTTTGGTCTACTACACCACGCTGGCAAGACGGGTTGGTATATAGTTTGTTTCAAGTTTCTCTTCTCATTGCAGTGTTCTTGTCCTGCGTAGTTTGCTCCCTTAGTCGACTCTTACGACACCCACGCGATGAAGGTATATTGTTTATACGGGTGGATTGGGTAACTTAATTGCCGTAGTTATGCCGGAAAGTCTGCGCCCTTTATCCGAATAAAATCAGTATCATGTTATACCTGTTCTAAAATCTAATCTAACATTGCCACGTTTTGTCGAAACTCTCAATTTTGAAACTTGTAGCATTAAAAAGAAAAAACAAGTTCAAAAGAACCCACCTAACAATTATATTATTAATTTATATAATGTAAGGTTATGTCGATGAATCATGAAATAAAAATGTAAGCTGTGACATTAAACAATAAGTGTCTGCAGAGCGTTATAGTGTTTGTGTAAAGAATTGATGAATGTGGGTCACGAGCTTCGCCTTTTGTGGCCTGTTCAGTACGGTGTAAGCCTTAATGAACGCATGCCGCGCACCCGCGCCTCGGGCTAAGATACATAGCGACTCTTAGGGCTGTCACGTACTTACATCACAATTAAACTCAAGAAAAAAGTTTTAATAAAATTATGTTTTAAAGTAACTAATATAGCCATAGAGTTGGTGAAAAATTAGTGAATAGTTGAGATGGATGAGAAAGACAAACGTATTCCTAAATATGAATAAAAAGAGTAAAGAGAGAAAAGAGAAAGTGATAGAAGAAGACCAATTTTTGTATTATTAATATTTACATTAGAACTAAAGCAAATTATAGTAGTTTTAATAGTACAAGGGCAAGAAGCTTTTGTTCCCAGAAAGCAATTTACAAACTGAATTATTATAATAGTTCTCTCCAATTAACTAACGTTAGTTTATAAATTAAAAATTACATTATATGAAATACATTTGAAACACGCATTTTATACCTACTTGTAGTAAAAAAACTACACTTGCAAAAAAAATCTTTTTTATTTTCCATTAGGAACTTAAATGGCTTATATCGTAAAACCCTGTGTCGATATACTAAAGTAAAAAGAAGAATGAAGTTATTCATAAATGGGTAAATTTTTCATTGTGTTAGATGCTGTATTTGTTTATGATTGTAAAGGCCGCTAAGTATTTCATATAATTAAAAAACGGTTTTTAATAGACATACAAAAAAACGAGTGTGCTTTAGACCATACGACTGAAGTAAAACTTGTTGGCTATGAGAGAAAAATAGAAAGAAAATGTGTGCTCTCACCTCTCTGTCTTTCTATCTTCAATAAGTTATATCTCCCTCTCAACTTCTGTTTGCCTCGGCCGATCACACTTTTCGTAACGCTCTCGTCACGTATTCACCAGCTTACTCCCAAAGTCAAGCGTGTGTAAAGAAGTTTTACTTCAAAAATTAACAAGAAAATGTATTAAAAAAC